TCGAACTGCGTATTATTTTTGACTGACCCTTTATAAACCATGCTGGGAGATGTTCACTCATTCGTTGGTTAAGTTGCCTGGAAGTATACGCCTGATGACGATCTAATCGATAACAACAACCATATTGTTCGCTTATATGTGTTGTTCTAAATTTAATTCAGATTTGAATCCCTACAAAAAACTGACTGATTATTTTATTAAAACGAAAACAGAGAAACGTGTTTGCTTCAATTAAAATATGAACATATTGATGAGATAGTGCATCTATTTCGCTTAGTCTAACATGAAATCTCTTTACTTTAAATGTCACATTCATTATGATTATTAATAATGAAACAAATATTGTTTCAAAATACTATTTTTTCTAAACAGATCTAATCGACTGTATCCACTACACCAAAACATGAATGATTTGTCCAAAACAACAAATATCATCAGACAACTTGAAAAAAAATATTATTCATTGTTTCCTGATTAGGAAAAAAAATTGTGTTAGAATATTATGATTAAAATATAATCATAAAACAAATTTATTGTTTGTCAATCATTAGTAAAAAAAATTGTTACAACTTTACTGAATAATAGTTATATATATTCAACTTACTTACTTACTTACTTATTTACTTACTTACACCTGTTACCCCCAATGGAGCATAGGCCGCCCACCAGTTTTCTCCAACCAGCTTTGTCCCGGGCTTCCCTCTCCAGTTCTGTCCAATGTTTGTTCATTCTTCTCATATCTTTCTCTATTTCTCGGCGTAGTGTGTTCCTTGGCCTTCCTCTTTTCCTTCTGCCTTGAAGGTTCCATGATGTCTTCAAATGTTTGAGTTATATATAACATTACGAATTGTAGGCTTGAATTTAATTCAAGCGGTTAGTTGAGTTCTAATTTCAGAAGATTATGAATCGACCAACATTCGAAACCTTGAAGCACTGGACGATGGTTGTTTTGCCCTGTCATGGGACTCATCAACAGTGCGCATCAATGGCTTGCATCATTCACAGGACGTTCAATCCTGTGCGCAAACGTCTAACATTTAGACCATTGAGCATGAATATTTTTTCAAAGAAATCTAATTATATTTATTACTCTAAATCTTTCTGTCTGATGATATTTACATCATCATGTTAGAATAATAATATGAATTCATCTACTTGACGGATTTTCCTCAGTCACTTATAATCAAAGCCATCTGTGTGAATATCTGAGCCACTTGTTTCTTAACATCGAAAAATCTCATCAACTTACCTCTATTTGCATTACGGGGTTGTGAGGATTGTTAAGTTACACATTTTTGAAACCATGTGTAACTTAACAATCTTCACAACCCCGTAATGCAAATTACCTGTGCTCACTAGTGACTAGCTTCATGAGGAAATTCTCGGAGTTCTAGTTGAGAAGACGTGACCAATGGAGTTCAACCCTGTCGGGTGTAGGCAGTAACTATCAAAGACAAATGGGTGAGGTCGCGCAAAATCGCTAGATCAATCAGAGTTAGACATCTACACCGTTAGGTGCCGGCTCAGTGGTCCGATAGTTAGGCGTTCGCGCACAATACCGAAGGTCTCGAGTTCGAATCCTGAGAGGTTCAGGAGTTGTGGATGCGCACTGTCACTGATGAGTCCCGTGACAGGACGAAATGTCTGTCCAGTGCTTCCAGGTTTCTAATGGTTGTCTAACAATGATTGGTTTATGACTTTATTATTGTCTGGTTTCTATGAGCTGATATGACTGAGCATCGCTTACGCCCACGTGTATACTCATCCTATTCTCTTTGATATCAATCTTAAATATCTCTATGACTCAGACGTTTCCCTATGTATATATATACATATACACAAGTGATATTCTATTAATTACACATTTGGCAACTGATCGGACGAACATACACGTTCCACATCCCATAGGGGCTACAGTTTTGTTTTTTATGCAGAAGATTATTAATGTAAAATAGTAGTTATTACAGATAAAGTCAGGTAATTGAAAAGTGATATTAATTGAAGCAATATCAAATTCTTTTTCATTGTAGAATTACGGAGATCCTTGTTTTACAATTAACCATCATTAAAAAACTTGGAAGTACTGGGCATTCGTTCCATCCTGGTATGGGACGCATCGGCAGCGTGCATCCATGACTCTTGTTACACGCAGGATCTGAGGTCAGGAACTTCAGTCTTGCGCGTGAACGCCTAACTTCTGTATCACTGACTTGGCATCCAATGGTGTTTCTGTCTAACTCTAATCAATCTAAGTATTTCGCGCAACTTCCCCCATTGCCTTCGGTACTTATTGCATACACCCACAGGGTTAAACTCTACTGGACACGGCATCTCACTAGAACACAGAATTTCCTTACGAAATTGGTCAATAATGAGCGCATTTTATGATTATTTTTCACTTCGGAATCATCGTTGATTCACCGTTAGAAAACTGGAAGTACTGAACGGCAGTTTCATCAGACAGTATGGCTGATGTTAGATCCCCAGAACTCGCTTGATAAATATCTTTATTTTGGATTTATTTCATTGACCTATCAGTTGACCTTGAGATTATATTTCCCACCAGGAAAATCTATGGCTGTGATTGGTTACTGTGTCATTTTTCTGTGCTATTTTTGTGATTGTCCCAAGGACGTCTCTATAGAGTATAAATAAACGCAATTTGAGTGTTTGGGTTCGTTGTGTGATAGCTGGGTGTTTGTAGAATACAATTTCTACATTATATCAAGACTTCTTGCTGATACTTTTTGGTCAAGGGATCACAGTAGCCTACCTGTTTATATCACCATTTCAATATAAATAGTGAAATGCTGTTTCATTCAAACTCATCAATTTCTGGTAATTTCCAAAAACGTTTCACTAAAAGCTTATTACCCAAATAAATGGGTCTCTACAAAAAATCTCTCATAAATTAGAGTTGTATTATTTTATTTCAAAAATACTTGAAGCTATCTTGAAAAAAAGGCTTACACAAAGTGTCTTCCTTTCCATATTCAATACACAAAATTCAAAACCATCAAAAAATTATTTGAATGTTACTTTTCATTGGAGTAATTCGCCGAAAAAATATTTTCCAGGGTGTAATTATTACAACTATTATAAATTCAACAGAACTATTTTCATGTCGCACAGACGTCCTAAATATATATATTTGTAGTTATTAACTTTCACATTTATTGAAACTATGAATCGACCAATGTTAGACCACCATTGGAAACCTGGAAGTACCGGACGGCCGTTTCGTCCTGATATGGGACTCTTCAGCAGTGCGCATCCACGACTCCTGCACCTCGCAGGATTCGAACCCAGGACCTTCGGTATTGTAGGCGAACGCCTAACCATCGGACCACTGGGCCGGCATCTAACGGTGTTAATGTCTAACTTGATCAATTCATGGAGTTGCGCAACCTCATACACAGTCTTCGGTAGACACTGGGTACACCCGAACAGGTTGAACTTCACTGGTCACGTCTTCCCACTAGAACTTGGAGATTCCTCACTAGTGAGCACAGGTAATTATTAACTTTGTCTAATAGCCAAAAAAGGATTCAAAAGTTTACCTGTTTACTTACAGAATGAATCAACTGTGTTGGGATAATTTTTTTACGTAAATGTTAAACAGTACTGATGCTTTCTTGATATATTTCCAAATGTTTCATTTTACTGCGAACATCATTCATTCCGAAGAGCACCACATGTAAGTGAACAATACTGTTGTCAATCCGATTGTCATCAGGCTTCTTACATTTAAGTTGCTTGAATATTTATATTGAAATGTTAAATCAATCAAGGCAATTTATGAGTCGATAATCACAATGAAATAGATTACGTCACTACATATAGTAGTTAAAAGTACAAGTTGATCGTGGTAAGACAGGTGTACTAATAGTAGTAGGAATAATGAAATACAATAACGAAAAGTTTTTCGTCAATAGTTCAACAATGAACTTATTAGTGGGTCAAGTGGGGATAAAGCAGACTTAAAAGAATCATTACAAAACATTACGTAATAAGAGGTGTATCTAACAGTGTTAGTATCAAACTTCAGTCAAGTCACGGAGTTACGTAACCTCATAAATTGTCTTTGTTAGTTACTGTCAACACCCGAACAGGTTGAACTTCACCGATTACGACTTCTCACTAGAACTCGGAGAAGATTCCTCATGGAGCTAGTCACTAGTGAGCACAGGTAATTTGCATTACGGGGTTGTGAAGTTTGTTAAGTTACACATTTGAAATGACGAATCGATCAGTGTTAGACCATTATTATTATGTGATCTATCTCGTATACAGCTATCATTTTAGACAGACAGACAGATGCAACGCAGAACTTCGTACATCAGTTCAGGTTGCCAAACCATATCAGCACAGAGACGCAACTGTCAACTCAAATCCCACAGTGATAGTGATAGTAGAAGTATTAGCAGTAATGGAGAAGAGGTTTCGAAGATATGATTTCAGGAGTATAATTCAGTGAGATAAATTTAGAAAGAGGAAGATAGAGATGATGAGGAATTCAGAAGATTAGAATTAGAGAGAACACAAAGAATGGATACCATCATTTCCCAACGGAGTTCGATCCCGTCTCCTTCATATATATATCAAGTATATTAGAATAAAAACACTAATGACAATCTAATTGCATAAAATATTGTTCACTGACAAGTGGTGTTTTTTTATTTATAATTTTCCCCAATGAGATATCTTTACTTATTCATAATTTATTTCAGTATGATGAATCTTCTATTCGCCTTTTTCTTTTTCATTCAAATCGTGTGAACGTACAAATTGATTGTAGTATTTTTTTTAAAAAAAACTGTTTATTTTTCCCTAAAATTGATAAATGAACTAAAACGAGAGAGCGAAAAAATTGGCTAATTGTAACATTTTTAACTGATGAGAACATGGAATAGACAAGAGATTCTTAAAAAAAATCGTTATTTTTTGGGCAAACGATTGTGATTTTGTCTAATTTCGGCAGAGAAAGACCAAAAAACTATGGGTAAAAATGAAAAACACTTTTCTCATTATTCTTTGGTTGCGTTTATGTCTTTTTATTTTATTTTATTTTAAAAATTTGTGATAATTATATTTCTCTCTATTTCAATGAATTATCAGTAATAATGTGTGTATATATATATTGACAATTGAAATCAACAGTAATAATAATCATAATAAGCATTACAAACAAACAAATAAAAAGTGAGTTTTAGCGCGCAAATTAAGCGGAAAGAATAAAAAAAGACAAAGCGTCTCTTCTTATTTTTAATTTTCAAGAAAAGAGTAAAGAGAGATTATTAATACAAGAGAAGAGCCAATTAAAAGAAAATGCATCTGTAGCATTCATCATTACACAGCAAGTAGAGTTTATATTATTATTATTATTATTAGCCAAAATGATTTTTGCTGTCAATAGACTAGAAAGAAAGAAAGAAAGAGATACAACATCCAATCAATGTAACATAATTGATCAAGAATAGTTTGTACGAAGGAAGCGCATTTCTGTGTACGTGTATGACTGGTTGTGATACATGTGTGTGTGTGTGTGTACAGGTTAATTGAAAATAGCTTTAAACAAACCAAAAAAATAATATCAATAATTTATTAAGTAGGCTAGAGCATTGAAACATTGAAAATGAAATGAAAAAGCGCGCCAAAAAGAAAATAGCAAACGAAATATATCAGAAGAATTAAAAATAAAACAACAAAATTAAACAATGTCAACATTGGATGAAATTGAACTATTCAAATATTATAAAACAGAACTATTGAGAATTAGTTTCGCTTTCGTTTTTAAACATGTTCTTTTCCGTTTAATTAGTTAAGATTTTTTGAATCTTTTCTATACGATACATCTTTTTAAACTGTTAAGTTATAGATAAAAAGAATTATATAAACATGATATTTATTAGAGAAAGACTGTATGAATAATGAATACTATAATAGACCATATTTTTGTGTGAACATGATATGATGACAATTATATAAACAAACATACGAAAATGGTGGGGACATGATGAGTACACTTTTGAATGTACAACCAGAACAACCACAACAACCACAGCAGCAGTCAGTACACACAATCTCTTTGAATATTGAAATAAACATTTTGAGCAATAAAATAATATTTCATCATCATCGTGATTTTGACAGAGAAAGTATCGAATGAGAACACAGACAAAAATCTCTAAGGGGGCAAAAAAAAACAGTGATCAAATTCCATTTGAATGTACACACACACACCTATGCAGTAAAATGTGTTGTTTTAATTGAACATATTCAATGATCAATACTGTCTGTACAGAATAAACAAACCAAAAAAAATGGCGATTTTTATCTTTGGTAAACAAATAAACAATAAGTCGGTTATTCCCGCAAAATTTTCAGGAAAACAAAAACATGTCAATTGAAGAAAGATTAATTGAGAACAAACAATAACTAACTAACATGGATGCCATTTTTGTCAGTACAAAACAAACATGGTTCGACACACGCACACACACACAGAGATAGAGAGGCACATCAAGCAATTGAATAAAAACCTATTTTTAATGCACCAAGAGAGAAGATGAAAGATACATGTTTATTAACGATGATATGAACTGTACACACACTCACACACACACACACTTGGATATATATAAACACATAAGGAAGGTGATCACTGCTACTACTGTTCAATGCTCAACATTCTAATTCACTTAATCGTAAATCAACACACACACACATATATATCTTGACACAATCGAGATGTAATGCTGACGGACATTTACAACTGATTATTTTAATCCTTATCTAAAATAATTCGAAGTAAAATTGTAAAAAATATGAAAAAAAAAGAGAAATGTTGAAACATGCGAAAAAAACTTGTTGGCTGAGACTAGTTGGTTGAAAAGCGAAAAACAAAATTAACCATCATAGAGAAAAAAGATTGATGTGTTAAATTATTTTTTCAGAAAAAATAAAGCGAACAATACAATTTTGGTTAATCTTATTTTTTTTTAGGCAAAAAAACACAAAAATCATCATCATAATAATAATAACGAAATAAAAGTCGAATTGAAATGAAAGTATTTTATATATGATTGTATTGTAGTTTTTCTCGCTCAATCCCGCTGTCTGTCAGGCAGCGAGTGATCCAGTTCGGTACTTTCAAAAAAAAAACACCTGTGATGACGATGACGGACTCGAACTCAGAAATGTGAAGAAAAAAATCAAGTGCAAAACGGTCAAAATCAGAAAAAATAAATTGTTACACTCATGATTACAATATTACAACAACAAGGAATATTCACTCTTTTTCATTATTGTCAGTTGAAACAGTAATAATAAAAATTTATGATTTTTTGTGAACCAAATTTTTTTATTAAAAAAATGTTTATTTAGTTTTTCTCGAAACACAACTTAATCATCGTGATTTTACACTGTGTAAAGGAGCGGAGGTGGTGGCGGCAGTGTGAAGAGGGAAGTTGAAACACACACAAAGAAAAAAGCCAACAACAACGACGACGAGTCTGCTTCATAATAAATCAACTTTCTTTTTTAAATCATTACGTTTCCATTCAGGTAAACGTTGAAAAGCTTCAGGGCACATGTGAAAGATACGTTGGAATTCATCAGTTGATAAATAACACTGAAATAAAGGAGAAAAGAAAAAGGCGTGAAATATAAAACAAATGAAAATGTTTAGTAGCGTAATTCAACATTCAATAGTTTCACTGAATTTATTAATGTAGAGACAGAAGGCGGGTGATTTATAGGAATTCAATCAGTCAGCTACAACATAGAACGTATATCGGTTCAGATTGTCAAACCACATGAGTAGACAAAGATCACATTGTCAATTCAAATATCATAGTAGTTAATGTAATAGAACCATTAGCGATAATCTAAGACGAGCTATGTTTTGTGGTGTAGGAGTAGGTTGGAAGAAAGTTAGGGGCGGCCAAACCAAAACATGGCAGAAATGCATGAAGTCAATGACAAGTGGACTGAGTCATGTTGGTAGATGTAGTTTACCTGGTTGGAGTTCACGAGACGACAGTCACCGATGGTTAGAGACCCTGATCGACACGGCTCGAAATCGCTTGCAATGGAGCAGGCGAATTCATTATTTGGCTTCTCTCAAATTCTAATCTTCTGAATTCCTCATCATATTTATCTTTCTTTTTTCTAATTTTATTTCACTAGATTATACTTCTTGAATACTATCATCGATCCCTAATACTTTTGATCACCGCTAATATTTCTACTACTATAGGATTACACATTAGGGAGGATTTGATTTTGACCAATTTGGTCTCGTGTGCTGTTACGGGTTTGAGGGCAGTTGTCACTTCCCGGCTACTTACACCGTGGAAAGTTGTTTCTTGAGGAACCTGAAAAGGAAGGTAGATTAGCGTTGGTCTGAACAACCTGGGAGCGTGGTCGCAGAGCCCGAGGGACAACTGCTTGAGGCCGGTCACGCACGGCTTTTTTATCAAAGGTTTTTACAGTGTTAGCTCCGCTCTTGAAACTCCTTAGTGGGCACACTTACCGCCGGGGATGGAAATCCGTGAGGTAAGGTGAGGTGTGACATTTTTAGGGTCGACCTTTTCTAACCCTTCCTTCCTTCGCTGCAGATGCTGGTTGTCCGAGGGAAACACTTTACTACTATCACACTTCTCTTCAGTCAGCAGTACAACTTCGCCCTCAGACCTTGAGTTTCTGCTTTTAGTCTGATCGTTCTCCAATCGACCTGTCTAGCATGGTAGAACCTTCAGGAACATAAGTTCCAGCCAATATAGCTCGTGGTTGGGTCATCACGATAGGCAAGCCTGACCACCACTTCAAGGTAGCAGCTCCGGTCGGGGGATTTCACATTGACAATTGCAACTCTGAGCTCATGTGATACGGCAACTTGAACTGATGTAAATATGTACAAAATTCCCACTTTGTAACTGACTAATTGACTCATTAAATACATATGTGTGCAAAAAAACTTCCACAGTGTAAGCGCAGCCACGAAAGTGACAACCGCTCTCTCTCTCTCTCATACAACCTTAACAGTACATCCATGTGTAAAAAAAGAAAAAATTGAAAAATATATTTTTTTTTAACAGTAAAACACACAAATTTCTCTACCTCTAATTTTGTTCGATCCACTCCTTTGATTAATTCATTGGATGATAGCTTTAATTTTTCATAAGGATAAATCTGTAAGAAAAAAAATTGTAATAATAATAATAATATTTATTATCATTATTATTGTTATTAATGTTGATGATTATATGTAATAAAATAATTATACACGTTTATTATTTGATTTAAAAACAACATAAATATTAATTTTTAACAAAAAAGAAAATTTTCTGTTGAAACCATGAAGCGATCAATGTTAGACCACCACCATTAGAAATCTGGAAGCAATGAAAGACGGCCACTTCGTTCTGGTATGGGAATCATCAGAAGTGCGCATCCACAACTTCTGCGCCCCGCGGGATTCGAACCCAGGACCTTCGAATTTGTGCGCTAATGCCCTAACCGTTAGACCACTGAGCCGGTATCTAATGGTGTTAATGTCTAAATCTGATTGATCTACGGATTTTGCGCGACCTCACCAATTTGTCTTTGGTAGTTACTGCCTACACCCGAAAGAGTTGAACTCCATTGATCACGTCGTCTCATTAGGACTCCTAGAATTTCCTCAAAAAGCTAGTCACTAGTGAGCACTGTTACGATATTTTCAATTGGAGTTATGGAGATTAGTGTTTTTACACATTTGAGATGATCAATCAATCATTGTTAGACCACCATTAGAAACCTGGAAGCACTGAAAGACGGCCGTTTTGTCATGGTATGGGACTCATCAGCAGTGCGGTCAGGACCAAATATTCGATTTTCCTTTCTATTTAGTAAACAACACTGCTACTATGAGAAGGCAGCAAGTTGGACTATCAAGACATAAAAAGTTACATATTACTACTGTAGATTTAGGGTGGGAAAAAACTATTTTTTACTGAAATCATGCATTAATCATCGTTAGACCACCATCAGAAACCTGGAAGCACTGGACGACCGTCTCGTCCTGGTATGGGAATCAGTGAAGTTCAACCCTGTCAGGAGTAGGCAGTAACTACTGAAGATCAATGGATAAGGTCGCGCAAAATCCTTAGATTGATTAAAGTTACAGATTAACACTGTTGGATGCCGGCTCAGTAGTCCAGAGTTTAGGCATTGGCGTGCAAGACCGAAGGTCCCGTTTTCGAATTCTGCGAGTTGCAGGAGTTGTGGATACGTACTGTTGATGAGTCTCATACTATAGGATGAAGCGGCCGTCAACTGTTTCCAAGTTTCTAATGGTAGTCTAACATTGAACGATTCGTAATTTTAGTCATAAACAACAATCTCTATAAATCTATATTGAAAAAAACTGTTTTTGAATTCACAATAAAAAACGTTTAAACTTTTGTCTGGCCAATGCTTCACAATAAAACTTTAGTATACGCCCCCGGAACACTTTGATACAATATAACAAAAAACTGAATTCAGATCAAATTTATGACCACCTATCTTATTAACTACAGGTTTGACAGTAGAGAACGAATATTAAATCATCTTAACTTGTAAATTCCTGATTACTCCTCCTACGCTTTCCTTGTGGTCACATGTGGTCACATGATAAATTTGTTTTTTGTAGTTCACCGTGTATTTCATGAAATTCGCTTTTGTTACAGACAACATACAAACTAAAAAGTTTGATTTATTATTTTTTTAAAATCATTCATTCACATAAAAATACAATGACGTCATTGTTCTACTGTGATCAATATTAAGTTTTTTTCTTATTAAACTTGTATGACATGAACTAACTACAAGTACAATCAATCAATCTCATATTATATCAGTACAATATGTTCATTAATTTCAAGTCAGAGTAAAATGATTATAATTAGAGTTTGTAAAACAAAACAAAACATGTACAAACAATGTTAAATGAATTGATTGAAATTTCATGAGATTTCTAATCTCTACGCATTGAGATACTACTCATAAAGTGTTATTTAAGTAGTATATGGATAGAGAAGTGTCGTCTAAACGTTGCTACCAGAGAAAGAGAGAGAGAAGTATCTGGAGACTGAAAGTCAGTCAGTCAGTCAGTCAGATACAACGTAGAACTTCGTACGTAAGTACATCAGTTCATGTTGCCATATTACACATTAGAACACACAGATGTCATTGTCAATTCAAATCCAATAGTAGAAGAGGTAGTAAATGTATTAGAAGTAATCGGAGAGGTTAGGATTAGAACATATTATTCAAGAAATATGATTCAGTGAGAAAAGTTAAGAAAGTTAAAACTGGAGGTGTTGAACAATCCAGAAGATTGGGATTTGAGAGAACACAAAGAATAAATGCACCGGCGCCATCGCAAACGATTTTAAGTCATGTCATTCAGGGTATCTAACCATCGATCATTATCATCTTGACAATTACCGACATGGCTAAGTCCATTTGTCAATGACTGAGATTGAAATGCATGACATGATCAAGTAATTTGAAGACTAGAGAGATGACAGTCACTAATCTGTTTTGTATTGCAAATGAATGTCTGAAGATTATGTGTACATAATTTGTATGTAAATAAACTATATCTTCTCCAAGCATAAACGTAAACTCAATCTGGTCTTGTTTTCATACAAACAAAAACCATATGAACATTACATTTGTATCGGTTGTTTGAATCTTTCCATTGATATACTTAGGACTGCATAGGTGTGTATCCTGCACGGACTGTTTCGAAGTGAACATCAACACTGAGATGGAAATACATGAGGCTGATGAGTCCTAACAAGGACGAAACTTCATTAACCGGATTTCACCGCCAATATTTCTGAACAATAGTTTATCTTTCAGAAAACAAACCTTACTAAACTGTACGTGATCATGTTTAAAAATATTTTCGAACAGCATTTAACTCGTTTGTAAATACTTTAAAAGATTATCTTATTTTTTTAAAAAAAGCACTCATTCAATAGTCAATGACAGATAATTTTTTTATCAATCATGTGAAACTGAGCATACAACGTTTTCAATTGTCAAATTTTATGTTGACCAAAAAGAAAAAACCGTCAGACATCATCCGTATATATTTCAGTGAATCAATTTGTTTATCTCAATATGCAATCAATCTTGCGTAATCGTTACAAAAATGTTTGCAACAAGGGTGGAGAAGATTTGTAGCTCAGGTGGATGATTATTGTGGTGATGGTGTTTGGTTCTCTGAGCTTGGTGTTTTAGTTGTGGAGCTTTCATTGTTCTCGTGCTGAACAACATCATCCTATGTAGACCAAAGGACAAAATGACAAAGGAAGAAAAACCAAATATCATCTACAAAATAAACAATTGCTCAGACTGTGAAGAACACTACATAGGACAAAGTGGACGGCCTCTTCAGCTTCGTCTAAGTGAACATCAATTAGCAGTCAAACGCAACGACAACGCTTCGCTTATCTCAATACACACCGACAATTATGGACATACATTCGATTGGAACAATGTGGAAATACTGGTTAGGGGGAGTACAAAGAACACTAGGGAATTTTTAGAAGCTTGGCACTCCTCAGGTCAATTAACAATCAATCGACACATCGACATTGACCTGATTTATCAACCAATCAGAAAAATCATAGGTGACACAGGATCAAGAAACAGATCAAAAGGGGGATGCAATCAAAACAAAGATGCAAACAACGACAAGTTTAAGGTCAATAGCAACCAATCAAGATCGAGGTTAGTAGAACAAGCTACAGGTCAAACGCGTGGAGAAATTGGAATGCTTCACTTCTTCTATCTGAAGTTTGTGCTGATGATGTTGTTTAGCAGAAGAACAACAATGAAAGCTCCACAACCAAACAACATCTGCAGCTCAGAGAACCAAACACCATCACCAGCACCACCAAAATGTTTGCAAAAAATAAACGGAACAACACTTACTTTGAAAGACTTTTCATATTTTGATGATGATGAAGAAGAGAATGATGCACCGACAGGTTTTAACCAACTTTGTACAGATGGATAAGCATCTATGTCGAGTAAGTCGGAATCAGTTAAATAACCCATTGCATGATTATTACTAGTACTACCAGTATGAGTAGTAGCTGGTGCAGGAGTACTAGTACGTCCACGTCTTATCGCTGCTACCGCTGAACCAGTGTTACTTTTATATTGATGATGTTGATGATGATAAGGATAGTGTGGTGGTAGCCCCCCGCCACCACCACCAACACCACCAACTGGTCGAAGTCCTGTCACGGAATTCGGTAAACCAGTGATTGTTCTAGATTTTAAAAAATACCCAATATTATTAGGACTAGTAATTGTGATATCATCATCACCGGATTCACCACCGATAAGACGATCCATTGACAAGCCTGATGTTGTCACTGTATGTACAATCATTGTGAAAGAAAAGAAAAAAACAATTTGTGTTCATAAGGATCATTCAAAATAGGTTTAAGTGTAATAGAATAGCGTATTTATTTGACATATCCATTTATAGAAACAGTCATCAGATAAACAGACAGATAGACAGATGCAACGTAGAATTTCGTATGTAAGTACATCAGTTCATGTTGCTATACTACACATTAGAACACACAGATGTAATTGTCAATTCAAATCCCATAATAGTAGTAGAGGGATAATAAAGGTATTAGAAGTAATCGGAGAGGTTAGGATTAGAAGATATTATACAAGAAGTATGATTCAGTGAGATAAGACTAGAAAGACAAAACTAGAGGTGTTGAAGAATCTAGAAGATTAGGATTTGAGAGAACACCGGCGCCATTGCAGACGGTTTTGAGCCATGCCATTCGATGCCATCGATTATTATCATCTCGTGGACCCCAACCAGGTAGTCAACAACTACCAACATGACTCAGTCAGTCCACTTGTCAATGACTTCATGGATTTCTGCCATGTCTTGGTCTGGCCGCCTCTAACTTTCTTCCAACCTATTCCTACACTACAAAACAAAGCTCATTGAGGCAATCGGTGGTTAGACATGCGCAGTACATGTCTCAACAGAAACAGTCATCAACCAGTAAGTAAGTGACAGATATGATAATATAGCGGAATTGAAGACAGGTAGGCTAGAAATTAAATATTCAGCAAATGACTGTTTTATATATTCATTTTATGTCAGTGTGACTGTGATAGAGGTTTCAAAAAACACAAAAACGATCGGGATTATTTACTGGTTTTGATGTAATAAATGAGTTTGATTTTTAATAGAAAGAACTGTGCAATAAACAGAGCAGTTGTTAGTTGGTTCATTTAACTGAATACTACAACATTACTACTTCAAAACAGTGTAAATCCTGTGCATATATATAAATGATGGTAACAAAGAAAGGCAGCTTACGGACACACTACAAGCGAAGATCGATATCAGACAAGGTTGCTTAATCTCACTTTTTCACTTTCTCTTGGTGGTTGATGATATCTCAAAGGAAGCAAAAAATACGGTGAACAACACGGATGTAGACGGATGATTTGCAATTTTCAAACCATCTAGCTCGTTTATTCCACACACAGGAAGAAAATTCAAATAAAGACAGTTAGTGTAGCAGCAGCATCCTCTGTAGCAGTAGATTTAAACATGCAGAAACAACTAACTTATCATCAATTAGATCACAGGTGTAAAGATACGGGGTTGGTAAAGTAAGGGCTGCATTTCTATACTTGAAGAACATCCGGACTACAAAACACCTCTCGACTAACACCAAAGTCACTACTTTAATTACAAATAACAAAACAGTTCTACTGTATGTAGCGGGAACTTGGAGAACTTCACAAAAGCCATCATCCTAAAGAGGCAGATGTTTATTAACAGTTGTCTACGCAAGATACTCCTTATCTGTTGTCTAGACACCATCAGCAACGATCCACAATGGGAAAGGACACACCAAATTGTAGTTTAGGAGGTCATTTATTGCGGAAAACACCCAACTGTCTCACGGCGCGAGCACTAATTTCAAATCTTCAGGGCCAAAGGAAAAGAGATGGAACAAGGAACACAATGTACTGGAGACTGGAAACAGATTTGAAGGAATGATTGGCGCTTGGGTAAAAATTGAAGGGAAGGCTCAGGACAGAATTGTGTGGAGAATCCTGGTCGGTGGCCTATGCTCCATTTGGCGTAGCTGTTGTGAGTAGTATATATATATATATATATATATATATATATATATTAAGAGAAGTTTGTGGAGATTGTCCGATTTGATGTTATATTAGCATAGAGGGGTTATAAAGATTGTTAAAGTTTCTAATTTCACTCCACGGACAGATATTACTTAGAAAACTGTTGAGGATTGAGAATGTCTGGATATCAGCTGTTTGATCGTGATATGGGACTCCATAACAGTGAGTATTATCAACCTAATTATAGGGTATCAGAACCATGACCTTTAGGTTTTTGGGTTAACGATTAACCCTATAAACTACTAACTCTGTATCTAATAATTTATACGTCTAAATTCAAGTCCCATTACGGGGTTGTGAAGATTGTTAATCTACACATTTTTGAAACCATGAATCGATCAATGTTAGACCACCATTAAAAACCTGGAAGCACTGCAAGACGTCCGTTACGTCCAGGTATGGGACTCATCAGTGGCAGTGCGCATCCACGACTCCTGAACCTCGCATTATTCGAAACCAGGACCTTCGGTATTGTGCGCGAACGCCTAAACATCAGACCACTGAGTCGGTATCTAACAGTGTTAATGTCTAACTTGATCAATTCACGGAGTTGCGCAACCTCATACATAGTCTTCGAAGTCCCATACCAGGACGAAACGGCCGTCTTGTAGTGCTTCCAGGTTTCTAATGAAGGGCTAACATTGATCGATTCATGGTTTCAAAAAATGTGTAAATTTAAGTCAACTTATTTATTGGAGCATTAATTGACGCAACATGGAAAGTTAAAAATAGAGATGTAAGTGAAAGCTAAAAAAGGCAGTTAAGCAAACACATAGTCAAGTCAACAAGTGAATCTGCGCATGTTTTATGTAAAGTTACCTAAAAAACAGACCGACTTACAAGAACCTAATCCATCATGAAATCCAATTGGACGTGATCCATTCTCAACAAAATTTGTATTCAATGATTCAGATATAGTGACTGTACGATCTGGTCCATCGATAGCTTCACCTGAATGTTCTGAATGTCCACCTGGATGATAACTATGTCGTGATGGATATGTTCGTAGAGTTGTTGATAAAGATCCACGTATACTTGGACTTGCAACTGGAATATGTCCAGATAATGTACTTTGATCTAACAGTGTAGTATCACCATTTTCTATACCGATAAATGGTCGTGGTAAACTAACTGCTCGACCATAAAGCATACCAGAAGTGTAACCAGGACGTGGAGCTAGAGAGTTTTATACAACAAATAAAATTTCAATGAATAATAATAGTAACTAATGATAACAGTAAAAAATGAGTAAGCCTGGTGTTTTACCGGCTGAACGAAAATTGATGAGAATAAAGTTATTGAAAAGTAAAGTCGTAATGTATTTTTATACAACTTTTTCTGTAGACCTTCACGGGTTACTTCGGTCATTGTTCTTGCCCGCTGGTCTGGAATGGATACGTCATCTATCCAACGTGTAGCGTTTACTAGTTCCTGCTGCTGGGACACGGCGGCAGGCACATTCCCGATGAATTGTGACGCCAACAACTGTGCCTCCGACTCCTCATCGATACTCGGTAGGGCACGGCGGAGCAACATCGTGAGCTCCACGGCCAGCACCAACGTGTCACCATCAGCCGACAGCCTCGCCAACCGGAATCTTTCCGGCGCTTCCTCCCTGTCCACCGGGCTGTCGATCTCCGTCATCAGCCGCGCGGTGACCTTCTCCGGCGCCGTCTTCCCGGCGGCACCGTCCAGGCCGTCGTATACCGCTTTCGCCTCACCTTCCCGCAGCGTCCCCAGCTCCGCCAACTCCGCCCCGATGCCCCTTCACACCCACCAGCCTCACACCGTTACCTCAAACTCCTCCAGGAAGCTCCGCAAATCTCCGTCCTCCGACGCCTTCGGCCACGGGAGCTCCTTCCTTCGAGCAGGCAGCGACACCAAATGTAGTAAAAGACAACACAGGTGGGGCAACCGAATTGTATTTAACGGAAATTACAGAGTTACTCAGTAACATCGGAAAACCATTTGCAAAATATCAGTTCATCATATCGAACTGGACTGTTCCTGTTGTCAAACATCAATCCATTGTCACTATTTATGCTATTTCATACAAATTCCATTGTGTTCCCATTCTTCCTTTCTTGATCTTCCCCCATCTTCTACTGCCAGACATTACGTTGACACTCATGTCATATACTACTTGTAAGTAGCTCGCACCACAAAAGGACTGGGCATGGAGTTACCAACCTCATGCAGTAGAAAACAAATTCGCTAAAAAAACGTCAACCGAAAAAAATAAATGAAGTCATTTGAACCCTACCGAAGCATTTAGAAAGTCTTCATTTAGAGAAGTCATGATGCCTCATGTTAGAAGCCGAAGTTATTCACAAGTCACGGAGCCAATACCCCTTTGGACAACCGGAGCAACAATTAATATAGGTACATGGAATGTTCACATAATGTGGGAGACAGGAAGAACCATTCAAATTGTAGAAGAAATAATGCACCCTTATCAGCAGCCTATTCCCAATAAGCGTTAACACAAATAAGTATATTTACCGATTGTATTTTACTATAGTATCATGGAGATTATTGATTTTACACGTTAAAATCATGAACGAATCATTGCCAGACCACAATCAGAAACGTAGAAGCACTGGATGGCCACTTCGTTCTGGTATGAAGTTACGCGAAATCCTTAGATTAATCCGAGTTAAACATTGATACTGTCTGATGTCGGCTCAGTGATCCAGACGTTAAGCATATGTGAGCAAGATCCTAGGTCCTCGGTTCGAATCCCGAGAGTAACAGGAGTCGTAGATACGTACTGCTGATGAGTCCCATACAAAGAAGAAGCGGCCATTCAGTGTGCTTCCAGGTTTATAAATGGTGGTCTAACAATGATTCATTCATGATTTCAATGTATATTTTACTACACTAACAATATACACTTTAATTTCTTTATTAACAAGCAAAAGTACGTGAGGTACTGCCTATTTTAAAACATTGATTTGCTTTCTATTTCATAAATTAATTTTATTCTATAAACTCATTTTATTTATGGGGAAATTTAAGTAAACAATAAAACATTTAAAATTAACAGAGAAATAAAATGTTTTGTAAAAAAAGTTAAAATTGTCGAAAAAATTTTATTTTAATTTTTTTAATTAAAGGAAATTAAATTTTGTGTCATTATTAAAGAAATTATTTAATGAATAATTTATTTACTACTGATAAATTAGAGAAAATATCAAATAAAATTTTTATGATGATCAACATTAATCCTTGCTGTAATTAACTTATAATTAAAATTGTTTTATATTGGCTGAATCAAAGTTAATTTAGTTTATTAAAAATTTTAACAATTTTTAGCTGAATTTTTTTAAAAAAAATAAAATGATGCAACTGATTGTAAACAGTTTGTAAAATGAAATATACAATCGTCTAATTGGCATTAAGAATTCATGTTAGTGTTGTATTTGAAATACCGACGTCGGCCTCTAAACGTTTTGGGTACAATGGCCGAGAGTCTGCTGTTTAACCTTCTTCAAATGCTCGTATATATGACTATGAGTAGTATTTAACGATTGACAAGAAATTTCTTCACATTACTTTCTAGTTAGTTGTGAAGTTGTTCTTTACAAAGTTGAGAAGACGAAAATTGAATGTTCGGTGAGAGTTTTTTTATACCTACTTGAAACGCTATGATCTCTTAGAAATGAGTCAAGTTGTATTCAAGGAATTTCTATCACCATTATACAATAAACGAATTGCATGTTAGGGTTAGGCATCCAGATAGTATCTCAACACATACAAACTCTCGAGCAGAGTTTTGGAGGTTTGTGTTTGAAATCATCAATCAATCATTGTTAGACCATGGTTAGGCAATCGAACACAACACAAAACGTCCAAAACTCTGCCTGAAAATATCGTAACAGTGCTCACTAGTGACTAGCTTAGTGAGGAAATTCTCAGAGTCCTAGTGAGAAGACGTGACCAATGGAGTTCAAACCTGTCGAGTGTAGGCAGTAACTACCAAAGACAAATGGGTGAGGTCGCGCAAAATCCCTAGATTAGTAAGGGTTAGAAATTAACACCTTTGTATGTAGGCCCAGTGGTCCAATGGTTAGGCGTTCGCGCACATTACCGAAGGTCTCGGGTTCGAATCCTGCGAGATGTAGGAGTCGTGGATGCGCACTGCTGACGAGTCCCATAACGGGATGAAACGGCCGTCTTTCAGTGCTTCCAGGTTTCTAATGGTGGTCTAACAATGATTGATCGATGATTTCAAACGTGTAAATACAAAGTCGATAATATGTGTCGTGCGCAAAAATTTTTGATGCTAGTTTGCATTGATATATGTGTTATGCGATTCGACCGCAGCTGCTGCCTTGACGTGGTGGTCGCGCTTGCCTATCGTGATGACTCAACCGAGCTATATTGGCTGCAACATATGTTCCCGCAGGTCCTACCATGCCAGGCAGGTCGATTGGAGAACGATGAGACTAAAAGCAGCTACTCAAGGTCTGAAGGCGAAGTCGGACAGATTACTGTAGAGGGATGTGACAGCAATAAAGTGTTGCCCTCAGACAACTAGCATCTGGGGCAAAGCTGCCTTCTCAAAAGGGAGGAAGGGATTAGAAAAGGTCGGTTCTAAAAATGTCACACTACACCTTACCTTACGGATTTTCATCTCCGGCGTTAGGACCTTTTAAGCAAGAGACCAGCTGACACTTTAAAAATATCCTATAAAAAGGCCGTCCGTGATCGACCTAAAGCAGTTGCCTTTGGGCTCCGCGCTCATGCTCTCAAGTCGCTCAGCTTCCACACGAAGCATCCTTCCACGGAAGTGACATCGTCTCTCATACTGCATTACACAACTAAAACCACTCTAAAACATTATTCCATTTAATAATTCGTGATAACTAAGCAGAATTTCAAGAATCCACATCAAGGACTAATTGAATTTCAGTCAAAAAATATCTAACAAGAAAAAATTATCTACACTTCATTTAAAAAAACTGAATATTCATTCATGTAGAAATTAATCAAACTGAACAAATAAAAATGTCTCTTAAAATGATCATTTATTTCATGGTAAAATTTGTTCGTATTTTTTTGGGGGAAAATTACACTTCGCTTTCTCAATTGAAGTGTGATTTTTGGATATTGTAGTCAGTCAGTCACCGTTGAGAAGATGAAACAGACACAGGCATACAGAGAGAGAGAGAGAGAGAGAGAGAGAGATTATTTCATGGTAGATAGATTTGAGATAAAAAAATATATAAGACAGTTGACAAAGTATTTCAAATATAAAAATGAATGTGTAATAGGCAAATACTTGACAAATGTAACATGAGAAATATGTTGAAAACGTAAACGAGTTCTAGGTAAGGATGGCAAATCAATAGATGAAGCATTGAAACTTCATCAGTTAAAGTGGTTGGGACATGTGTTGCGTATGCCTAACCACCGACTGCCTCGACGAGCTATGTTTTGTGTTGTAGGAATAGGTTGGGAGAAAGACAAGGGTGTCCAAATCAAAACATGGCAGAAATCCATGAAGTCACTGATAAGTGGACTGAGTCATGTCGGTAGGTGTCGACTACCTGATTGAGGCCCGCGAGATGATAATAATCGATGGTTAGAGACCTTGAATAACGACATGGCTCAAAATCGTTTGCAATGGCGCACGTGCATTCATTCGTTGTACTCTTTCAAATCCTAAGCTTCTGGATTCGTCAACACCTCTACCTTTGTCTTTCTAACCTTTCCTCATTGAATTATACTTCTTAAATAATAATATCTTCAAACCCTAATCTTCTTCATTACCATTAATACCTCTACTATCTTTATCAATGTGGGAGTTGATTTGACATTTGCGTCTCTGTGCTAAAGTGCTATGGCAACATGAACTTATGCACATACGTACGATGTTCTACGTTGCAACTGACTGAATGACTGTTGAAAACGTTTGTCCGTTTCTATACAAAAATTAGTTTTTCAGATCATAGAGAAAATGTTTAGCTTAGGTGAATTGATTATGATGGAGTTTTGTTTTGTGAGCTGGATGTTTTGTGTTGGTTGACGGAGCTTTTTCATTGTTCTTCTTCTTCTTAAAGACAACAACATCATCAACACAAACTTCAGCTGTAGAAGAAAAGAATTATTCGAATTTCTCTACATATGACCTGTAGCGTTTTCGTAAGCCTTGTTAACCAATCAAGATCAAG